CCCACCCCTTCACTCCGTTTAAACTGGACATTGCCATAAATGTTTTGTTCACAACCAATGTGGGGTTTTTGCATTGCGTCTTCCTTTAAATTAACTGCGGAGGGTGTCTTTCGATGCTGTGTGGCGCCCGCCTCTCATTAAGGATTCCGACAAACGCTGAACGCGTCCACGTGCTCAGTGCAGCCAGACGTCACCTGCAACGAGCGAGCGTTCTCCACAAACCAGCCCTGCGCCCTCAGCAGGGGCAACTTCACTTCGCGTGCAGCCCAACCAGATCTTGAGGCCCCCCGAGGCCCAGGAAGACCCCGAGGCCCAGTGAGACAATGAGTCCCAGTGAGACCTCGAGGCCCCCCGAGGCCCTGAGGCCCAGGGAGACCCCGAGTCCCAGTGAGACCCTGAGTCCCAGTAAGTCCCCGAGGACCAGTGAGACCCCGAGTCCCAGAAAGACTCTGAGGCCTACAGGAGGCCTCAGCCCCCGAGGCCTGCAGGCACCTATCTCTGGCGGTTGGAGACGCCGTCCAACTCGGCGTCGCTGTCGCTGTCGCTGAGGCTGCAGGGCCTGTCCCCCGGGGGCTGCACGGGCTGCAGGCTCTCGGAGAGACGGCCACTGGGGATGACGACGTAGCGCGCGGTCACCGTGCGCGGAGCCGGCTCCCGCAGCCGCTCCTTGCTGTGCCACATCCCGTACGACAGGTAGATGACAGGCCTGAACACACACACACACATGAAGATCCCACATGTAGTGGGGAAATGCTGTTCGCGTGCAGCCAGGAAGGTCGGCACAACACACAAGGGGGTCACGTGGCTCTCTCACTTCATGCTGTATGTTTGATCTCGTTAGTACAGTCCTGTCACTCTTGTACTGTGAGTCTCATTTCTGTGGTCTCATTTGTATCGTCTCATCTGAAATTCCCCTGTGCTGTATTCTCAAGTGTTCCTACCTTGGCTGTACTTGCTCTCTGGTTTGTTGCTGTCAATTTTTTTCTAGCTGTTAAGTTAAGTGAAACATTTACATACACTTTGAATAAGGGTAATGGATTGTTATTCAAAAATGAATACATTCTGACAATAATCGCCTGGAATAGATGAAGCATTTAATAATAATAAATATTTTAGTTCATTGGGTATTCACGCCATTCTTATAGCACAAGGCCATCACGAGGCACGTAGACTGCAGTAGTTTCACAGTAAGTAGTTGATATTGCTGTGCGGTAATCTTCAATTGATTAATTTGCAGGCAATTTTTTCTAATTTGGCAAATTTGGGACCAAAAGAAAACGGTGCCTATATTTCAGTTAATACACCGGCAGTAATATACGGGGCAGCCTGCGGGATTTTAACCTCTGCAACGAGTGGCAGACCACCACTACTGCCGCACCCCATGCACACGTCCATCGCTGCCAACTGGTGGCTGACACTGGAACTCACCGGACAACGATCCACACCATGAAGCGCACCCACGTCATGTAGTTGAGCTTCAGCATCAGGGTGATGTTGATGAGCATGCTCAGGGCCGGCAGGAATGGCACACACGGAACCTGCAGTCCCACACGGTGTTGAGCCTCAATGAGATCACGCGGGGAAGACTCTGGCCTCAGTTGTTCTCCACAAGACAGTTGATGGCGTGTGCCGGTGACGTAGCGCTCTGAATATACAACACGCTTGTTCACGAGTGGAGTGAAAGCTCTGTTGACGTGAAAGCCGCTTGCGTGAATCACGCAAAGCAGGCACCCACCAAGAAGGTAGTGGACCCCGCGATTCTGCTCGTGAGCGGCAATGAGCATCACGCTGACAGGAAGCCCAGGCCGAAGATGGAGAGGAAGAGCGCGAAGGCCCACGTCGGCAGGTGGCAGGTGCGAGGAGCCAAACACGAGCATGGAGGCGAGCGAGGTGGCGACACACGAGCAGCGCCACCACGCACACCACCACCCGCCTCCGCCCGGGCCGCACGGCGCCAGCCACCCGCAAGAAGACACTCAACCTAGCGCCAGCGAATACATCCGTCACTACAGCATCACCGCAGTCAAAGCCAATGTCATTTCCAGCTGGAGCAAGCATCGAGAGGCAGTGGTCATCTCCCGTTTACAGCCCTGAGCCAGATTTTACACATTCCTAAATAACAATTTAGAATAATTAGACTTCCTAGATTTTATTCCGACTCCCTCGATCTAGTTCTGAAGATCTCGGTGTCGTTCGACAAAACGTCGTATCTGATGGATACATTTGGTTGTGAGAATCGTTCTTCACTTACTGGTGAGCTGAAATTACGATTGGTGTGATAAATGCTTCTACACATGACAATTTGTTTGGCTGTGTTGGGTAGTGGAGGGTCTTACGACCAAATCTTGCCAGATCATTACGTGGTAAACCAAAAATCTATGACAAAGAACAATGCGGCGGAGGTGCGGTTGCGGGCAGCGTGGTCGTTCGGCGGCGTCGGAGTACCTGGCCTTGAGGCAGCCGGCCTGCCGCGCGTCTGTTTTCTCCCCGCTGCTTCCCCACGAGACGCAGCTTGTCCGAGAACGACTCGTAGCCGGCCGTGTCGCGCCGCTCGCCTTCCTTGTCCGGCGAGATGTCCAGGAACTCGCTCTGCGGGCGCAGCACGGTGGGGTGCGGTCACTGCCTGCTCTGCTCTCTATCCCAGGGCAGTCCATCCACCGTTGACTTCCCATACAGCGGTGCTCAGTTCATTGGCTCTGCAGTGATGATGGGCCGAATTGACCTCTGACAAGAATTTTAACTTACAACCTCTCATCACTCTCTTATGCCTGTCAGTAGCTGTCTTGTGGCTTTGATCACATTGCACAGCTGCTTACTCACAGCTCTTATCCAGTGCCTTGGAATAAGAATTGAGACGTGTAAATGTAGCATGAAGAGGAAGCCTGGACTTGAACAAGGATATGGGATTGACAGTGCAAAAGACCAGGGGGCAAAGGCGCAACCCTCTGAGGGGAGTACGACGGAGGGGATTGAGAGACGGAAGTGGTTCTCTGTAACAGACAGAGAGCATGCAGAGGGGGAGTGAAGTGAGATGAAGACGTAGACACGAGGGTGAGACCACCTGAAGACGGTGGGGTGATTTGTAATTGATCTGGGAATAATTATCTGTGTCCCAGCTGTACCTCATTTCCATTATTCCCTCCAACCTGCCCAAATAACTTCTCTCTCATTTTCCCAATGACACACAGGCGCTAAGTACCGAATAATAGCGCAGAACAAGAGTGAAATAGGATATCGCTTGTGCATGGGGTAGCACCGCTCCCCCCCGCCCCCGCCCCCATGGCGTGCGCCGGGCGCTGGCGGCACACACCTGCAAGGTGCGGTCGGGCTGGTAGCGCAGCACGATGATGCTCGCCGCTACAAAGGTGTACGCCAGCAGCGTGCCGATGGACAGGAACTGCACGAGCGCCTCCAGGTCGAACAGCGTGGCCAGCACGGCCGTCAGTGTTCCGAACACCACGATGGCGTTGACGGGAACCTTGGTGACGGCGTGCAGGTGAGAGAAGACGGAGAAGAAGAGCCCGTCGTCGGCCATCGCGTAGATGATGCGCGGCAACGAGAAGAGGCTGCTCAGCAGCACGGTGTTCATCGCTGGGGGGGGGGGGGGGGGAGACACGGACCATCACGGACGTTAGGCGGACAGGTTTCCTTCACGCCCATGGACTATCGTACTGAACAAACGACCGGAGGTGTCAAGGTGTCACAGCGGCCCTGTTAAAACGGGCAAGGGAGCGGCGGGCCTTCTCTGCTGGAGGCCCCAAGGAAGTGCTAGAAATGTCACATTCCTATGAAACGGTGACACGGGGTTGATACTCCTGGCCGGGGAGAGAGCTGGGAGTTGGGCAGAGTGTATATTTTACACTGGGAACCAATGTACTTCACGATATATGTATCTTTCTTCTTCCTGCTGTCCTTCCCCCCCACTTCCGATTCGCCCGGTTGGCTGTGTACGGCGCGAAAGACGTTCTACAGATGTACATTTGCCCCCCACCTTGTGATGTAAATGCGGCACATTAGCAAGGGTTTTGAGATACGATTGTATGATGATGCTACATGAAGTTAAATTCATTGTATTACAACTGCAAATTAGGCTTTAAATGAACATTTTCCAGCCGACCAGGCAGGGAGCTTCCGTTTAGTGCAGGGAGGAGTGCACGCAAAACCAATCCACGATGCTGACACAGTTAAATGGCTTTCATGCAAAAATGCAAGTGTACGGCATTTCCTGCAGAAAATTCCTGCATAAATTCTTCAAAACAAGCGGGCACACCGAATAATTAAATGCGAGATGTGGTTGCATAAAGATGCTTTATGAATGCAAACTGATTAGTAACTGTACACACCACATGTTCACGTGCATCCTGGAACACAGCCCTGTTAGGACGTTCAAACAGACGCGATCGTATATATAAAGACAAAGATCCCCCGTATAGCCTGTAACAGACTATTGGGGCAAGTGCTGTTAGCAAGCACCTATGAAGGTCGGCATGGCACACGAGGGGTGGGTGGCCAGCACCACGTCCGACCGCCTTTGTCTCCCCAGTGGCGATGTTTACACACCTCATCAGGTACTCATTTGAGGCGAGGGGAGGCCCAGGACCAGTTCAGATATTCGTCACTGGTGTTGGCCGTGAGCGGGAATCGAACTCGGGTCTCTGGGTTCGTAGCGCAGCGCTGACCGCTCCACCACCGCTAACACATATCACGCGGCATCGTCGGGGTCTCACGGGAAGGTTGGCTAAAGATTGAATTTCTTATTTAAAAAAAAATTGGCGAAAACAGCAAAGTCGGCAAGTTCCAATCACGACATTGTTGAATCCTTGTTGAGAAGGTCAGTTTTTTTTTAGCTATCCTTAATCAGCTGCAAGTTGTCCAATAAATGAGCGACACAGTCCATTGTTGAGCTGAGTAGCAATGACAACAACAGTGTTAAAGGGCAAGCGCTGCATTCGTTTGCTTTGAGATTAGAGCATTAAGAGGCCATCCATTAGTACGTACGCAAAAATCTGTCAAAACTTGACCCCTCCCCCCCTCCCTGTACGGACGCGTACCCTTTACCCCCCCCCCCCCACCTGTGTACGTTCGTTTGACGCCCACCCCCCACCCCGAATCATAAAGACGGCCGATATTTAATCCACGCAGAAACGATCAAGGATTAATAATATTAACGTGTTTAAGCAAACAGACAGTCCACCGCCGGCTGCATTAAATAATTAAGTTGCGTGCCTTGGCCACTGATGTTGCTGAGCTGCGTGAGAGCAACAGTCAGGGGCACGGTGGCACACGAGTGAGACCTCTCCCACAGTCCCACCTCTCCCGGCAGGACTTGTTGTCTGACAGCTGAAGACACTGAACTGTGGCTCATTTGAAGGCCGATGTAGACAAATTGTTATCGAGGCTTCACCCCCCCCCCCCCCCGTTTCCTATGCGTACGCACATTGTCAGTAGACCCCCCATACGCAAGCGAACGCGTTTGGGTTAACGCCCCACCTCCCCGCTCCATGCGTACGTACTAAATGGATGGCACCTAATGGAGGCCTCCAGTAAGACACCATGGGTCGTCGCTGGACGGGAGGTCACTCCTTCTTTGCTGCCCCTGTCACCCGGGGCTCCCTCCCTCCCCCTTGTGCACGCTGCCTGGTAATGGCTGCCTGGTAATGGCTGCCTATTTGGTGTTTGAACATCTTAACACCCGCATTATTGCCAGAAAGGGTAAATCATTCTCTTCTGTACTGTGTTGTTGCGTGTCTGACTGCCCAGTCATTCGTTCCCTCCGGGAGAATCTAAAGCGATGAAACACAGCTCACCACAGCATTACAAGCTGTCGACGTTAAGTTAGATGCTTCCTCCTAAACAGGTAATGGTGCAGGTTTCATCTCTGTTAGCAGCCCTGAACCGAAAGTGAAAATTACACCTTGTTCATGATGGGGATCAGGTTCTCTGTAGGATGACTGATGACTTTTCACCAATCCAAACTCATTTTATCAACACGAGAGGGATGATACGCTGGGTTGATCTGTCACTGTAATTTGAAGCCTGTCAAGACATTTTACCCCATGAACAACGGAACAACAGTGGTCAGCTGCTCGGGCTTAGCTACAATCCCAACGTCTGCTCTGGCGGTTGAGGATTTGCCATGCTCAGTATGCAGTGCTGAAGGGGCACTGCCAGCAGCCTCACCGCATATGGAGCCGGTGGAGACAATGAAGCCGGCCCACGGGTGCCCCCGGCGGGAGAAGGCATCTGACAGCGCCGACTCGGGCACCAGCGAGTGCCAGGGCACCATGAGCGTGAGCACCGTGGCCACCAGGGTGTAGGCCAGCGTGGCGAGGACCAGCGACAGCGCCGTGGCCACCGGAACGGAGCGAGATGGGTCCCGAGCCTCCTCGCTCGATGACGCGATCACGTCGAAGCCGACAAAGGCAAAGAAGCACGTGGCCGTCCCCGTCATGATGCCCGAGAATCCGAACGGAGCGAAGCCGCCCTCCTTTTTGCTGTAGTTCTGCGGATCGGCCAGTGTGAAGCCGAACACGAGGATGAAAAGGATGGCCCCCATGCTGATGACGGCGAACAGGTGGTTGATCCAAGAGGATACTTTGGTGCCAAAGGAAACCAAAATTGTCGCGATAAACAAAATCCCGCAGGCGAGAAAGTCGGGGTAGTGGGCGAGGAACGGCACGTCCCAGGAGGCGACGTGGGTGAGGGTGAAGTTCTGGATCTTGTGCTCGAAGATGGCGTCGAAGTAGCCGCTCCAGGCGCGCGCCAAGGCGGCGCCGCCGATCATGTACTCAAGCACGACGTTCCAGCCGATCATGAAGGCCCACACCTCGCCCATGGTCATGTACGTGTAGAGGTACGCCGAACCGGCCCGCGGCGCCCGCGCTCCGAACTCCGCGTAGCACAGCGCCGCCAGCATGGAGGCCAGGCCGGCCAACAGGAACGAGATGATGACCGCCGGGCCCGCCATCGACTTGGCCACGGTGCCCGTGAGCACGTAGAGGCCCGAGCCCACCATGCCTCCGAGGCCGAGCAACGTGAGGTCGAGCGTGGAAAGGCAGCGCGTGAGCGACGTCTCCATGAGGTCGGCGTCGAGGGTCTTGGTCCGCGCCATGCGCTGGCACGTGCGCACCACTCCCTCCCACGGGGCCCATCGCGAGCTCATGGCTCCTTCCGGCTCCTCCCGGCACCGCGACGGACGGCAGCTCACAGATCCCACCGCCTACAGCAGCGCAGCGGCACCAGCGAGAGGCATTCCTAGGGAACACAACACGCGGTGATTTCCCGGTCAAATGAGCACGGGGCAGTGCTCATCGACCGCTTTCAGCCCTGAACCAGTGGGGGATTCGATTGCTGTGGTAGGGATCAATACATTAGACAGCCACTGTTGACAACAGGCAGCTGTGAAATGCCTTGCCCAGGCGTTCTAAACACTGATTATGTCAGCCTCCTCTGAACTTCCCTGATAAGGGCTCTTCCAATTGGACAGTGTTGTTTTTGTGTTGTCTTCGATGGGCGGGGGGTTATTCAACAAAAGGACTGCACTGCCCTTTGCTATGGACCCCTAATGCTCACTTCTACAAACCCGTTGGCATTTTACAACTCCCTCGATGACTGCCACAGACTCCCTGTTGGGAACGTTTGCCTTTAAAAGCATCGGTATATCGGGATCTAGATTCACGACACACTGGAATGCAGTACTGGTATTGATTCGTGACACATTGGAATACTGGTATTGATTCGTGACACACTGGAATACTGGTCTTGATTCACAACACGCCGGTATAGTAGGACGTGTGCAAGCTTTCACTAATTTACACAAACGCCAATAACACTCTCAGCGTAGACTCACATCCAAGTCCTTCTTTGCAATGCTACCACCAATAAATGTACAGCACGTTTACACAAAATGGTCCAGAAGGCACATTGCTCTGATGATTCAACATGCTCTGATTATTTGTCTGGATGAACAGACCCCTTTGCTTGATTATTCACAAACACTGTACACGGCACATGCACCGGGCCAATCGAGAACGCGCGCGCACACATCCACGACCCACGTGTGCGCGCGTGTGCCACCGGGTCTCTGCGCGCCGCATCACCGATCACTGCCGCCGCATTAAACATTAAAGATCCGCGATCGCAGGCGGGGCTTCTCCCCCCCCAGCCCGCTTCCCTGCATCCCTCCCTGGCTCTCTGCATGATCTCTTCTCATCCCTGCTCCCATCTGTTCCCCTGTTTAGTCCGCGTTACCATCTCTCTTAACATCAACTCTGCTTCCATCTGTCCCCCTGTTTAGTCCGCGTTACCATCTCTCTTAACATCATCTCTGCTCCCATCTGTTCCCCTGTTTAGTCCGCGTTACCATCTCTCTTAACATCATCCCTGCTCCCATCTGTCCCCCTGTTTAGTCCGAGTTACCATCTCTCTTAATATCAACTCTGCTCCCATTTGCATCATCGCTTCTCCACGCTGTTTTTCTCTCTTGCTGCAGTGTCCACGTCTGTAACGTCTGACAGAAGAATACAAAAATGACGACCCTCCCGGCTCCAGCATGCCTGCTGGACACACGCACACGAATGTGATATCGGTCTGCGCCACTGCACGCTGCGCTGCTGCCTCGTGCGTTGCCGTGCCCCCTGTGATGTGAGCGAGACGGAGTTCGTGCCCACCACCCAGAGCCAATGCCTCTCTCGCCGTGTGGCCCCACCGGGGCGAGGCGAGGCGAGAGTTTCATTTCGTCCTCCTCTGCACCGCCGATGGCCTCGATCAGCAAGCACCGCAGGCGGATATCAACAATAACAACCAACAACTATTGTACCACCTGAGACACACGAGCACCGCAATGATCAGAATCACAACCACAACAAACGCACATGCAACCACAATGCCCAAAACCGATGATGTGATCGCAAGATAATCGGTGCACTAAAACCACAACCACGTGATGATGAATTTACAATGACAGTCCAGGAGTTACAGCCACGGTTAGGCACAGCGCACAAAGTGACACGCACACACGACGTTAGTAGACACACGCAAACTCAGTGGAACATGCACACCGTGCGATATGCACCAACACATTGTTGTGGCACACAGCCAACGACACAGTGACACACACAGTGACACACAGACTGGCACACAGTGACACACACAGTGACACACAGTGACACACACAGACTGGCACACAGTGACACACACAGTGACACACACAGACTGGCACACAGTGACACACAGTGACACACACAGACTGGCACACAGTGACACACACAGTGACACAGTGATACACAGTGACACAGTGACACACACAGACTGACACGCTGACAGCGACACGCTGAGTTACACACAAACACTCTGACAAGTCAAACACACCGAGAGCGACACACGCACAGACTGACACACCGACAGCGCCGCACACACAATGACACACACAGTGACACACTGACACACATAGTGACACAGTGACACACACAGTGACACACACAGTGACACACTGATACACATAGTGACACAGTGACACACACAGTGACACACACGATACACATAGTGACACAGTGACACACACAGTGACACACTGATACACATAGTGACAGTGACACAGTGACACTGACACACATAGTGACACAGTGACACACACAGTGACACACTGATACACATAGTGACACAGTGACACACACAGTGACACACTGATACACATAGTGACACAGTGACACACCCAGTGACACACTGATACACATAGTGACACAGTGACACACACAGTGACACACTGACACACATAGTGACACAGTGACACACAGTGACACACTGATACACATAGTGACACAGTGACACACACAGTGACACTGACACACACAGTGACACACTGTGACAAAGATAAAGATCCCCCCTATAGCCTTAGCAGACTAGGGGCAAGTGCTGTTAACGAACTCCTATGAAGGCCGGCACGGTACACGAGAGGATGGGTGGCCAACACCACGCCCGCCTTTGTCTCCCTCGTGGCGATGTTTACACATCGCACCAGGTACTCATTTGAGGCTGAGTCAACCTAGGGGAGGCCCGGGACCGGTTCAGATAATCGTCACACTGACACACACACAGTGACACACACACACTGACACACACAGTGACACACTGACACACACACTGACACACACAGTGACACACTGACACACACACTGACACACACAGTGACACACAGTGACACACACAGTGACACTGCCCACCGCTGTCGCAGGGTTCGCCAGGGAGGGACCGGGAGATTCTCGCCTCACTGCCGCGCCTCGCCACGTGATTTTAAAAACGCGTTCACAACGACGCGGCGCGGCACGCGCGGCCACCGTCCCCGACGTCACCGCTCATCCGACGAGCCAGCTCACCGAGTGTTCAAACTGGCGTCGTGACGTCATGCAGAATGTGTTGCACTTCTGGTGCGTGACGTCACGCGGGTTGTCTTCGCTGGACGCGCGCAACGTCATGCTGATGATATTCACTGTGCGACGTCGTGCATGTTCAAACGCACACGTGACGTCATGCCGATGATATTCACTGTGCGACGTCGTATATGTTCAAACGCACACGTGACGTCATGCCGATGATATTCACAGTGCGATATCGTGCATGTTCAAACGTACACGTGACGTCATGCCGATGATATTCACAGTGCGATATCGTGCATGTTCGAACGTACACGTGACGTCATGCAGAGTATGTTGAGATGCGTGTTGTGACGTAACGGGCCGGTGCAGGACTCGGCGTCTGCCACGTGCACCGCTGCAGTGAGAGCGGCCGAGCAAATGGCGGTGCGAGACGGACGAGGACGCCTCAAGAGGCACGCTGCACGGTGCCTCCAGCAGGGGGCGTTTCGTCTGTGTGCGATCGACAGCGGCGACAACTCGCGCGCAAGATCTCAGCCTTGGGACGTCTCTGTGCAAGGCCGAGGGAGCTGGCGGGAGGGAGGAGACGGGGAGCCCAGAGGGACAGAACCGCCCAATGGAACCCTTCTCTCGTGGGAGCCGAGTGTCACCACGACGCCACCCTGCCGCTCTTTCTGTTCCACTTGTACTGGTTGGAACCCACTGGTTCCACCAGCCCACAGGGGATTATTGTGTCCGTCCGTTCATCGTGCAGGGAGGGGCTGGGTGGGGGGTGGGGCTGGGTGGGGAGGGGCTGGTCACCCCGTGGTGCCCTTATAAAACTCAACGTTTAACCTACTCACGCCGGCTTGTGCCCGCCCTCACAGTCGGCCACAGTTGCGGAATACACCACGCCGCCGTTGACCCTGGCCATTGACCGAGCAACTCAACGTTCCTACCAGCAGCTCCCTCTGCAGGACAATGTGTTCAATCAGACGCGACAGGTTCCTCTCCGGCTGCACTCCGCAGGGTTGACACTACTTGTGCTGTCCGTGTTGTTATACCCAGGTCCACGTTGCGCAATGCCAGCGTCTTGATGGCTGTGTAGTGACACAGCGCCGACTGCTGCCCAGCAGCGGCAACTGCGGTTGACAGCGCACACGCCGTCCACACGTGTGTGTGTCTCTACGTCTACACGCTGTGTGTGTGTCTGTCTCTACGTCTACACGCTGTGTGTGTCTGTCTCTACGTCTACACGCTGTGTGTGTGTCTGTCTCTACGTCTACACGCTGTGTGTGTCTGTCTCTACGTCTACACGCTGTGTGTGTCTGTCTCTACGCCCACACGCTGTGTGTGTCTGTCTCTACGTCCACACGCTGTGTGTGTCTGTCTCTACGTCTACACGCTGTGTGTGTCTGTCTCTACGTCTACACGCTGTGTGTGTCTGTCTCTACGTCTACACGCTGTGTGTGTCTGTCTCTACGTCTACACGCTGTGTGTGTCTGTCTCTACGTCTACACGCTGTGTGTGTCTGTCTCTACGTCTACACGCTGTGTGTGTGTCTGTCTCTACGTCTACACGCTGTGTGTGTCTGTCTCTACGTCTACACGCTGTGTGTGTCTGTCTCTACGTCTACACGCTGTGTGTGTCTGTCTCTACGTCCACACGCTGTGTGTGTCTGTCTCTACGTCTACACGCTGTGTGTGTGTCTGTCTCTACGTCTACACGCTGTGTGTGTCTGTCTCTACGTCTACACGCTGTGTGTGTCTGTCTCTACGTCTACACGCTGTGTGTGTCTGTCTCTACGTCTACACGCTGTGTCTGTCTCTACGTCTACACGCTGTGTGTGTCTACATCTACCTGGCGTGTGTCTCTACACCAGACATGGGCAAAGTACGGCCCCCGTTGGGCTTTTTAATCCGGCCCGCCGAACTTGTCCAAATATTATTAAATTAAATTTTACCTTCCTCCTGTAATGCCCCCGTTTCCCCATTAGATGGCGCACTTTGTGTAATTCAACAAAACAAACAAAACTTAACTCCCGAGTTCTCTCCGAATTTCACGAGTCCGTTCTAGACCCCACAGTAAAAAAAAAAAGTTTTAAGCACAGAAAACATAATTCAAGTTTGAAAAATCATTAATTATACAAACTTTTCAATAATTTCCTTCTTCACTTCGATTCAAATTTTCTTTAAAAACTTCTTCTCACCAACATAACCACTCATTACCACTTTCTCCGAAGGCAAGTTTGTAAAAGAATACATGGTACAGACAGCAGACATCTTGTGTCCGGAGATCAAAATCAAATTTGAAAAAGTCAGTTTATCACGCATGACTGTGACTCGCCGTGTGGAACTGACTGATAAAAATATAGCCAGTCAATTAAACAAAAAGTCTGATTCCTTTGAATTATATTCACTAGCACTGGATGAAAGTACGGACGTAAAATACACCCTCAGCTCATTATCCGTCGCCTCTCAGCCGTCGCCTCCTCCACCTCCACCACCACCACCTCTACCACCTCTACCACCACCTCCACCACCACCCACCACTACCCCTGTACGTCGCTTTGATTGACGTTTCGATATTCGTTGCCGCACCTTTCAGGAACGCATCCCCGACGTAAACCGGGGTATAAAACGTCTTAAATGTCAACGATTGGGTTCTAAAAAAGATAAATCGGTTTCTTTACACATCAACGTCCACGACCGTGCCCCGTGTGCATGCAGCATGCTCCCCAACCCGCGCAGTGGCAATGGCAGGACAGGAGGAGCAGCGTGGATGTGCGATGCATTATTCAAGATTCACATTTTATTTGAGCTTCCAAAACATGCTCTTTCATTTGGTTAGTTTGTTACGGCAAACGTTAACAGCTGTAAACATCCGCAAGTTTCTTGATATGTCTCTTATACATCCGTGTGTTGTGAAGAAGAGCATTTACCTTAAATGTAGTCTATTAAATAGTTTTCCTTTGGAGGTCACAGAGTCATTGGTGATGGTGTCGCGTTGTTTATCGTGCTTGTGCAATACACTGCCTATGCAGCGTCACCAAATCGGTTGAATATTTTAGCTGTCGTTTCAACTGCACTGCAAACTCGCCGAGAAATGCATTGACAAAGACCCTCTCTGAGTGTGCTTGAGTTGAAGCAGGCTCAGAGAGGATCTTTGTGACATCAGTTAGTCATCCCAACAGGCACCTTCGTGCCAGTTTTTTTACGTGTTTCTCATCAAGGGCATATCTCTCGTTCTCAATGACTTTCACGTTGTCTTTGTGTTATATTAGCCGAGTAATCGGTCCGTATCGCATTCCCAGGGGTACGTGAGAGGTGTGGTCGTTTGGCTCCTGGGTTACAGCACTGAGTTGGCATTGCTGAAATTTTGGATTCAAACCCAGCTTTCAGCCACCAATTACTCACTTAGGTTCTCAAGTCTGGCTAGTTGCGGTATTACTTAGCTGTGCTACACAAAACGAGGACAAAATCAGCTGTATTTTTGTTACTTAATTCAATCAGCTTATTCCAGCTCAGATAATACAAAAATATATTGACATCAAATACTTGATTTGTAACCAAGTATGGATTGAGAGGCTCACAGAAGTTATTTGTAAGAGAAGACATTTCTCGACACTAATAGTTTCAGATGGAAACCTCTTTGCCCGGGCGTGGGCGGCACGGTCAGGCTGCGTTGGCAGGCGGCTGCATGCGCTGGCGAGTGGGCTGGGTGAGCACCAGGGGCTCCTTGACCACCGTGGCCGGGTAGTTCTTGCCCAGGAGCTCCACCTCCACGTGCTGCCCCACCAAGCTCAGCTCCACAGGGACGTATGCAAACGCCACGCTGTGCCCCGCCGTGTAGCTGTAGGCCCCGGACGTTGTGTTGCCCACGACCTGCGTGGGACGAGAGGAAACGCCAACGCATCGTTGTCCGCGCTTGCTGTCCGCGTAGGCGCTGGTGCGTCATGAATTAATAACGTTTCTCGAGCGCCGAGTGGTGCGCACGCAAATGAGGGTTTCACATAAAAAATGTATGTAGTGATGTACTCACAACATACGTGTTAAATTATTGATCTATTATTTATTTAT